AAAGAGACGGTCACTCCCACTATTCGTTGGTAAAAGAGTAGCCCAAGAGTTGGCGGTGGGTGGTGATGACTAGCTGCCTTCCCTCTAGTCTTACACTGCTAAATTAGGGACGGCTAGCGCAGATAGCCCTCGTGTAGCTTTGCGCGAAATTCCAACACAAACAAGTAACTCAGGTAACTGTGTAAAACATGGGTTTTTGCTGTTGAATTTGTCATAATTATATATTTGCTAATGTTTTTGCTATTATAGTTTTAACATTGTATTCTCAGTATAATCCCTTGAGGATTTTCGAGAATTAGAAAAGTGTATAATAATTGTATTCCAACCACACTATGCATGCAAGAGTAAATTAAGTTTCTAGGAATAATTTTTTTCTATAAAAATCAAAATGCATTTTTATCATTAGACTGGTTAAAGAAATTTCATTAATCTTACTAAGCAGATCATGTAATATCATCACCTGTGTTAAGCATTTTACAGATAAGTGTTTCTAAGAGTGTCAGAACTAATTGTCTAAGAAGTGTGTTTCTTGATATCATTTGCATGAATAGATACCTTTCTTAGTAGGTCGTATAATATTATAAGATTATTGGCTGTTGTATTGATAGGTTTTGGTATGTAATCAAGTCAAAGTCATGTCCCAAACAGAGATGCAATGACATGCTGTAGATATTATTATATGTATAGCCTTCATGGATGTCGTCCCCCCCCCCCACACACACTGACATAGCGGCATGTCTGCAGACTTACAACGCGAGAAACCGGGTTTCGATTCCCGTGGTAGGCAGAGTACAGATAGCTTATTATTGTGTAGCTTTGTGCTTAAACTACAAACAAAAAGAACAATTCATAGACGTTATATTTGTTACTGTGATAAGTCAAAAAACATATAAATCAATGTCATGAGTAAACTGAAAGACCCAGTTAAACATAAAAGAAGGGGTTTTATAATAATTCTGTTTTAAACCCAGCAAGTAATACATAGTACTGAAACTTCTAAACATACACTTTTGTGTCTGATTTTTTAAAATATTTTATCATACATTTTATTAGGAAATAAAAAACTTTTTTCTCACCAATCCAAAGATTCGTTAAAATATTAGTTACAAAACAAATTGTTCAGCACAGATTTACGTAACAACTTATTTCTATAGGAACTGTAATCCATTTATTCCACCAACATTAAAAATTATGTACAAATATATCAAACATCTGTACCTTTACTCAATTTTCTACCATCAGAAAACACTGAAGTATATTGTTACGTCTCTGGTCGTTTGTTAATTACTCGTAAAAATTCTTTCCGAAAAACTTCGGCTATACAAGTCCTTTCTTAAATAAAACTATTTTATTCTTTCTCAATTCAATGCAATACACTTAATTTCCACAGTCACCTTAACTTAAACACACGCTATAATTTACAACGAACGATTCACGCACTTTACTTACTACCGCGCTGGA